AAAGCCCAGGGTCAGATGGCTTCACAGGGGAGATTTACCAAACATTCAAAGAAGAACTAAAATCTATCCTTCTCACACTATTGCAAAAAATTCAAGAGCAAGGAAGACTTCAAAGCTCTTTCTATGAAGCCAGCATTACCATAATCACAAAACCAGATAAAAACACTACAAAGAAAGAGAATTACAAGCCAATATCCGTGTTGAACAAAGATGCTAAAATACTCAACAAAATTCTAGCACATCGGATTCAGTATTACATTTAGAAAGATCATACACCATGATGAAATGGGATTTATTCCAGGGATGCAAGGCTGGTACAATGTCTGCAAATCAATAAACATGATATATCACATAAACAAATTGAGATATAAATCATATAATCATATCAATTGATGTAGAAAAAGCATTTGACAAAACCCAACACACTTTCCCAGCAAAGAGGAAATAGAGGGATCATACCTCAAGATAATAAAAGCCTTATATGACAAACTTATAGCCAACATCATAATCAATGGGAAAAAACTAAAACCATTTTTCCTAAGAACAGGAACAAGACAGGGATGCCAACTCTCACCACTCCTGTTCGACATATTATTGGAAGTGCTAGTCACAGGAATCAGATAAGAAGAAGAAATAAAAGGCATCCAAATTGGGGGGGGGGGGGGGGAAGTAAAATTGTCATTATTCCCAGATGACATGATATTGTACAAAGAAAATTTAAAAACTCCATAAAAAAAAAACTACTTGGAATTAATAAATGAATTGGGCAATGTAGCAGGATACAAAACTAACACCCAGAAATCTATGGCCTTTTTATACACCAATAATGAACTCACAGAAAGAGAAATTAAAAATAAATAAATAAATAAATAAACTAAAAACAAAACAAAACAAAACAAAAAAAAACATTTACTATTGCACCAAAAACTACTATACCTAGGAATAAATTTAACCTATGAGGTAAAGGACCTGTACTCAGAAAATTACATGGATTGGTAGAATCAACATCCTTCAAATGTCCATACTATCCAAAGCAATCTACGGATTCAATGCAACCCCCGTTAAAATACCAACAGCATACTACAAAAATCTAGAATGCACTCTCCAAAAATTCACCTGGAATAAATAAATAAATAAATAAAAAGACCCTGAATAGCTGCAGCAATCTTGAGAAAGAAGAACAAAGTTGGAGGTATCACAATACCAGTTATCAGCCTATACTACAAAGTCACTGTTCTCAAAACTGCCTGGTACTGGCATAAAAACAGACATATAGACTAATGGAACAGAACAGAAAATCCAGAAATCGACCCAAGCCATTATGCTCAATTAATATTTGACAAAGGAGGCAAGAGCATACGATGGAGTCAAGACAGGCCTTTCAATAAATGGTGTTGGGGAAATTGGATACATGCAAAAAATGAAACTATACTACCAACTTACACCATACACAAAAACAAACTCAAAATGGATTAAGGACTTAAATGTAAGATGGGAAACTATAAAAATCTTAGAAGAAGCCATAGGCAGCAAAGTAGCAGACATTTGTCATAGCAATATCAATCTATACAGCTCCTAGGGCAATGGAAACTAAAAAGAAAATAAACAATGGGACTACATCAAAATAAAAAGCTTCTGTGCAGCAAAAGAAACCATCAATAAAACAAGAAAATCAACTACATGGGAGAACATATTTGTCAATGTTATCTCTGATAAGGGTTTAATCTCCAACATTTACAGGGAACTCATACAATTTAACAAAAGGAAGATGAACAATCCAATCAAAAAATGGGCAAAGGACCTAAATAGACATTTTTCTAAAGAGGACATACAGAAGGCCAAGAGACATATGAAAACATGCTCAAGTCACTAATCATTCGAGAGATGCAAATCAAAACAATTATGTTCCATCTCACACAGGTCAGAATGGCTATCATTAAATCAACAAAGGACAAGTGTTGGAGAGGATGCAGAGAAAAAGAAACCCTCTTGCATTGCTGGTGGGAATGCAGATTGGTGCAGCCACTGTGGAAAACAGTATGGCAATTCCTCAAAAAACTAAAAATGGAACTTCGTTTGACCCAGTAATCTACTTCTAGAAATATATCCCAAGAAATCAGAAACACCAATCAGAAAGGATATATGTACCCCTGTGTTCATAGCAGCACATTTTACAATAGCTAAGATTTGGAAACAGCCTAAGTGCCCATCAGCAGATAAGTGGATAGAAAACTGATATATCTACACAATGGAATATTCTGTGGTAAAAAAGAAGGAATTCTTACCATTTGCAACAGCATGGAAAGACCTGAAAAGCATTATACTAAGCGAAATAAGCCAGTCAGAGAAAGATAAATATCACATGATGTCACTCATTTGTGAAATATAATGAACAACATAAACTGATGAACAAAAACAGTACCAGTCATAGAAGTATGGAATAGACTGTCCAACCTATGAGGGAAGGTGGGGGTGAGGAGATAAGAGATCATCCAGAGGACTTGTATACATGCATATGAGCATAACCAATGGTCACAGATGAGGATGGCGAGGGGGGAGGAGAATGGGGGGTGACGGGCGGAGGGAAGGGGTAGTGTGGGCATGTGCTAGGTGTGGAGATGGCTGGGGAGAGGTCAAAGGGGTCAAAAGGAGGCTTATATGATACTTTAAACAATAAAGAATTTAAATAAAAAGAGAAAGAGGTACAAATTGGTTGTTACAGAATAGTTGTGGGGATATAAAGTACAGCATAGGGAATATAGTCAATACTTTTCCAATAATTATGTATGGTGATAGATGAGTGTGAGATTTATAAGGACGATGATCACTTAGTAAGTTATATAATATTAAGTCACTGGAGTGCACACCTGAAACTAATATAATAATGTATGTCAATTATAATTAAAAAATAAAAAATGAATGTAGATTGAAATGATGTGAACACTTTCCAAGTCCAGCTGATAAAATCTCCCACAATTTTTTCTCCATGCTCTCTCCTCTTTCCTCTGAGTAGTAATGACAATAAAAGAGCACCTTGGAAGCCATGTTTTAAAGATGATCAAGCCTGCTACTAGCTTAAGTCTTTGAATAATCTCATGTAGAGTTGCCTACTGACTTAAAAACTCACTCATCTCTGTTTATTCCTTTAAGTAAACTTTAATGTTTAGAGATATTTCCTGTTTGAAATTATTTGTGTCACTGTCCTAACATACTCTAATAAATATGGTGTGCTCCTAAAGGATTTTTTTTCTATGATTCTGCAATTGCCTACAAAATAAAGTTCAAACTCCTGATCTATCCCAAGGTACCTTAGTAATTATTTTTCTCCAATTACTTTGCTACATTCATCATACTTCTAAACAGAACAGGGTCTTATATATATTCCATATTTACCTTCATGTATGCTTGTTTAAACTGATCCCTTCATCTGCTATAGTCTTTCATTCTATCTCCATAAAACTAAAATTCATAATTTTCAAGTCCTACAAATGCTACGTGTTCCATGAAACCTTCTCTGATTCCTCTAGATCAGAGGTGGGGAACATCTGGCCCCCAGGCTATATAAGGCCTGTGAAATCATTTTGTCTGGCCCTGCCAAGGCATTAGGGTGAGTTAAATATTGGACCACATATGGTAGGCTAATTTTTAAAAATATATATTTTAGTGATTTCAGAGAGGAAGGGAAAGGATGAGAGAGATAAAAACATCAATGATGAAAAAGAATCATTGATCAGCTGCCTCTTGTATGCCCCCTACTGGGGATTGAGTCTGCAACTAGGGCTGGGAATCAAAACCATGATCTTTTGGTCCATAGGTCAGCACTCAACTACTGCGCCAGCCAGCCAGGCAGCAGGCTAATTTTTAAGTTGATAATTTTGTATGGCCCTCAAATGATATTAATATCCAAATGGCCCTTGGCAAAAAAAAAAAAAAGGTTCCCACACCTGCTCTAGATGAAAACAATTTTCCCTATTTTAAATCCTAACAGGACTTTATATTTCTCTAAGAATCTTCCTCATTTTTTTTTTCATTTGCCAGTAAGTATATTTTAATACCTACTAGTCTATATACTTTTAAAGCCAAGATCTTTATCTGATTCATCTTTATATAGTCTTTGGCACCTAAACTGTATTTTTTACAGAGCAGAGATTCAATGAACATCCTATATAATCCTATAGAATAAAGAAGTAATATGAAAATTGATCATCATGCCCTCGAACAAGATGGCCATGCCCATGTGGTCACAATATGGCCACACCCATATCATCACAAGATGGCCACCAAGAGAAGGGCGACAGGGGAGGGCAGTTAGGGGTGATTGGGCTGGCAGGGAAAGGCAGTTGGGAGTGACCAGGCCAGCAGGGGAGGGTAATTGGGGGTGACCAAGCCTGTAGGGGAGGGCAGTTAGGGGCAATTGGGTCAGCAGGGGAAGGTAGTGGGGGCAACCAGGCCTGTAGGGGAGGGCAGTTGGGGGCTACCAGGCCAGCAGGGGAGGGCAGTTGGGGGCGATAGGGCTGGCTGGGGAACATTTCGACGTCAATCAGGCTGGCAGGGAAGCGATTAGGGGGTGATCAGGCTGGCAGGCAGAAGCAGTTAAGGGCAATCAGGCAAGCAGACAGGTGAACACTTGGGAGTTAGCAGTCCTGGATTGTGAGCGGGATGTCCGACTGTGAGATTGGGCCTAAACCGGCAATCGAATATCCTCTGAGGGTTCAGATTGGAGAGGGTGCAGGCTGGGCTGAAGGACACGTGTGTGTCCCCTCTCTCCCCCAGGCCCCGTGCATGAATTTAGTGCACCGGTCTTCTATTTGGTTAAATATAAGAGAAACAAATTAATAAAATTTCAATAATCCTAAATATTCTATCATTCTACTTAAATTAATAATATGCACTATTGATTAAAACTCAACCTCTGTAATTTTCAAACTATCTGAAATTGATTTGATGTGATTTTTATCACTTGAAACATTTATACATTTGGGTTCATAACAAAGTCATACCTGGCAGTATCCAATTTTGGGATTCCTGTATGCATAAGCAGTGAGTACTCGCCTCAGAGCAGATATGCCAGTGTCACTCTGAAAGGCTGGGTGCTCAGGCAGGGAGCGACGTAAATCACGTTCAATTTCTTCAGTAGCCAAATTGCATGTCCCTAAGGACTGTTCAACTACTTTGGCATAATAGCCAGGATGAGCAGCCATGTCATTAACAGCGCCTATAAAGATGATTACATTAACACACAAAAGAAGAGGAATGTAATAAAAACTACTTCTTGCATATATACATGAAGAATTGGAATACCTTTAAATTTAGCTTTATGCTCAAGTGATAGCTGAGTACAAACAAAAGAAAAACCTTCATCCTGGAATTTATAACATGAGGACAACACCAAACTTATCCAACAGAATGACATTTTCATGAACCGTTTCCCCCCTTAACTTTCCTTTGACACTAGAGATAGAGATCCCTCCAACCAATTAGCTGTAAGTTGCCTAATGAAATAATCTGTTTAGACCACATGTGTCAAACACAAGGCCCGCGGGCCAAATCCATCCCGCAGGCCTTGCAATGTGGCCCGCACCACGCTGTCATCACTGCATTCCGCTGCGTTTCCATCACAATGACAGTTTATGACTGTTCAGTAAACCATTCGGCCCGCGACTTAGGCTGGATTTTAGATTTTGGCCCCTTCTCTGATTGAGTTCGAAACCCCTAGTTTAGACAATGGATATGTGGATATATCAGTAAGTACACAAAACTAACATTCCTTCTATGATTAGTTTGGATTCATGATGAATAAGACTTTATCCTAGCCATCTTTGCAATTATTTTTCATTAGCCTGATGCAAAACTCCTAGAAGGGGCATAATTAATGTCTGCTAAATAAATAAATGTAATACCTGAAAAAAGCATCCAAAGCTCTCCTCTTAAGGTCTCTGGAATCCCTCTTATAACCAGATCTCGAGTCTTTTTAGTCCGAAACATAGTAACACCACGCCCACATTCTGAAAACAGGATATTCCATGACTGTTCCTTCATCTTTTCTTTCAACTATAACAGCAACAACAAAAAAATCTAAGCAACTAAAGATAATGAGACATTAACTTCTTTCAAATAACTAGATAACTCTCATCATCATGAAACAATATATATGAAAATCAAGATTGTAACACCACATGACCTCACTTATTTATGGATGATAAAGAACATTATAAACTGAAGAACCAAAAGATAGATATAGAGACAGTAAAGCAACAAGCAGACTGTCAAATTACAGCGGGGAGGCTGGGGAGATCTGGGGGAGATAAGAGATCAACCGAAGGACTTGTATGCATGCATATAAGTACAACCAATGGACACAAAACTCTGGGGAGGAAGGGTATGTACAGGAGGGGGGGGATTGGTATTAATATATGTACAAAAATAATAATTTAATAAAAAAATATATTATTAAAAAAAAGAAAAGAAAATCAAGATTGTAGAAACTATCTCCCTCGCTTCCTCTCTGTAAAAAATCAATAAAATATATTAAATAAATAAATAAAAAGATTGTAGAAACTCAAAATCAGTATTCAGATGGGCCCAAAACTGGTCTACTTGCACCACAAAAATCTTTTAAATTCATGTGAGCGTAACAGAATTTACTATTTTAAATCTTAGCTAAACTCATATAAAATGGGAATATCAATACTTTTAGGAGGTAACAGTTTGAACCATCATTCTCCCCAAATAAACTTGATTAGGACTGATTATTAGAAATATATACATTAAATCCTAATGTTCAACTTTTATCCTTTATCTCAATTCATGGTACAGTTCTTTTATGTAATGGAAGCACACAAGTTACACAGAAGTACCTGCTAGAAAACTTTTTCAAGCCCCAAAGGAGTGTTCAATTGTGGTACCTTCTAGTCCAGCGGTCGCCAACCGGTGGTCCGCTGACCACTGGTGGTCTTAAGTCTGAAAGGTTGGCGACCACTGGTCTGTTCTAAGAGTTTTATTTTTGATCAAGAGATTTAGTCCACAGTAATAAATATTTTGTTTCTATACCATTTTGGAATTAAGAGTCTCCAAATTCTGAGGGTGATATACTGTCATTAAGGCTTCAGTGTTCACAGTTTCGCTGTATTCCCTTTGACATGGCAAAGATTGTACCTCAATATTATCAGATGGATCTGTAGAATGAGAACTAATAGGAACCTGAAAAAGAAAGAATGTAATTATTCCAAGTGTATGCTTAATAGTTTTTACAAAAAGAAAAGTGATGTTTTATCTATCATTTATAAACCACAACTTATATGCATAATAAATATTTTTAAAGCAATATTTTAAGGAGACCAGGAGACATTATTTTTCTATCAAAATTATAGACACAACAAATTAATATCTGTAACAGAAAACTCAGGACCTAAGTGAACCAAGCCACTCCCTTACAAAAGCAATAAAATACTTGCAAAATGTTAGAAAAAAAAACACAGAACATAAGAAATTAACCAAAGGCACAGAACAAATGGAAAAGCATCAATTCAAGTAAAATGAATGAATATCAACAAGAACACTCCAGTCAGTGAAATTTTAATTTGAGGCTATTCCTATTTGCTACCCTCTCAAGCTCAGAAGTGTGGTAGCCATGAAAGCCAGCATTTTCATACCCAAGGATCTTTCATTGAAGCTTCACTAAAATTCCCATCCCTAGGACACAGTCAGTATTTTGACCAAAGTATCACCTCTCTGGAAAATCCCTATTTGTAGGGTGTTATCATTTGATTTGATTCAGAGCTCAGCTCTGTGAAAAAAGTCCCTTCTCTGTTAGAAAAAATATATAGCAATATACTAATTACATCACAGCTGTCTAAACCTAATTATGTATATTGAAAACAAAAGCCTGGCTAGAAACTTAAAAGGAAGGCCTGGAGAACTAGATGGCCATAAGGAACTTTGAAAGGTTCCAGCATATTCTTGGGGATCTAAATGTATACGTGCATGTGCAAGGCTATAAACCTGCACAAGAAAAGAAAGAGACAGAAGAAAAGGTCCCAGTCACTCAACTCTGGCTGGCTTTGGAAGTAAGAAATAAAAGCTAAGACTGATTTGTAAACTGCCAAAAGGTTGAGGTGTACCTTCACACAAAGATCTCGTGGCAAAAGGTGGTAAACTTAATGCTTTCAGGCATTTAAGGAAAACTGATCTATCATTGGCTGACCACCAATTTATACTGATCCAGTGGCTGATCCAAGCATCCAGGCTTAAAAATAAAAATAAGAAGTATTAAAAAAAACACAAAAGTAAACCAATAAAATGTCCTTGAGAAGCCAGTTTTTGGATTTTGTAAACTAAAAATGTAAAGCAGCTATCATAACTAGATTCAAAGAACTAAAGGAAACTTGAAAAAATAAAGGACTCAGTTAAAAAATGGGCAAAAGATGCCCTGGCCAGGTATCTCAGTTGCTTATAACATCATCATGATATGCCAAAGTTGAGGGTTTGATTCCTAGTCAGAGCACTTACAAAAATCAACCAATGAAATAAGAGGAACAACATAAATAAATAAGAGGAACAACAAATGGATGTTTCTCTTTCTCTCCCTCTTCCACTCTCTCTAAAAATCAATTTTAAAAAATGTAAAAAAGATTATTCATTAAAAATGAAGAGTGATCCAAGATAGCAATAGTTTAGGTGGAAGCTACAGTAACCTCCTCCCAGGACCAAACTGGAATTACAATTAAATTATATACAAATCAGAGAGAAACCAAGATGGCGGCATAGGGTAAACACCTGAATGCAGCCTATAACAACAAATTTGAATTTAGAACTGGAAAACAGGGGAAACATCGCCCTGAAGTGCCAGATGGCTGGCCGAGAGGAGGCTCTACCATCTGGAAAAGAGAAAGAAGGCACGCTAAATCTCAGGAACTGTGAAGGTGTGGAGAACTGTGCGTGCGAAAAGGCGGCCGCAGAGTTCGTTGCAGGCTTGCTTTCAGAGCACGGAGAGGGCTGGCCGAGTTCGCTGCTGGCTTACTCCCGGTGCACGGAAAGGGCACACAGCTAATGCGTGGCTAGCTTTCTTGTTGGAGAGGAAAACAGAACCACCCTATTGCTCTGATAAACAGCCCCAGACAGGGAGAGGACAGACTGTCAGGCAGTGGGCAGAGATCTCTCAGAGGTATGTGAAGCCAGCGGCCATTACTGCGGGACTCAGAAACCAGACCCTCGTAGGGAGGGGCTGAATAAAGCTTGTCTGCACCATCCGAGACTCCGCCCCATCCAATCGGAGCACAGAAGCCCTTCCAGTGGCTAGTTTCCTCGTTCGCTGCCAATAGGACTCTCTTAGGGAGGGGCAGACAGCAATACAAAGCTTGTCTGCCCTATACCAAAGAAGTGCACGCGCCTGCAACTAATCTTGCGGGATTCACCAAAGCTTGGCTGTGCCACCCCGAGACTCCACCCCATCCAAGTGGAATACAGAAACCCTCCTAGCTGAGACACTTCTGATCCTCATAGCCAATTGGCTTGAAGATCAACCCTTCCCAGTGATACCAACAACAAGCAAGGCTTAACAACAAGACTGCACACACAGCCCACAAAGGGCTACACCAAGACTGTCCACCTCTGGTAACTGGGAGGCTGACCCACTAAACCATATAGGACACCTTAACACACAAAGCCACACTACCAACTCAGGGAAGCTGTGAAAATTCCGAGACAATGAAACAGATCACAAATAAAAGAAATGGAGGACAAGAAGTGACTGGATATAGAGTTCAAAACCAAGCTTATAAGGTTTTTCAAGAATTTCCTAGAAAAGGCCGATAAAATAAACGAGACCTATGAGGATATGAAAAGGGATCAACTGGAAATAAAGAATACATTGTCTGAAGTAAAAAACATACAGAGTCCTAAAAACAGAATGGAAGATTGCAAGAATCAAGTCAAAGATTTGGAACACAAAGAGCCAGAGGACACTCCTCCACAGAATCAAGAAGATAAGAGAATTCAGAAAGTTGAAGATAGTGTAAGGAACCTCTGGGACAATTTCAAACAAACCAACATCAGAATTATGGGGGTCCCAGAAGAAGAGAAAGAGCAAGATACCGAAAGACTACTGGAAGAAATAGTGACAGAAAACTTCCTCCACCTGGGGTAAGAAATAGACTTACAAGTCCAGAAAGCGCACAGAACCCCAAACAAAAGGAATCCAAAGAGGACCACACCAAGACACATCATAATTTAAATTCCAAGAGCAAAAGACAATGAGAGAATATTAAAAGCAGCAAGAGCAAAGCAGGTAGTTACCTATAAAGGAGCACCCATACGATTGTCAGCTGATTTCTCAACAGAAACCATGCAGGCCAGACAGGAATGGCAAGAAATATTCAAGGTGATGAACAGCAAGAACCTACAGCCAAAAATACTCTATCACTCAGAATCGAAGGCCAGATAAAGAACTTTACAAATAAAAAAAATCTAAAGGAGTTCATCACTGCCAATCCAGAATTATATGAATTTCTGAAAGGGGTTCTTTAGGAAGAGGAAGAAGATATAGATAAAAATTATGATCAACAAATACATAACTATCAACAAGTGAAACTAAAAGCCAAGAGAATTAAAAAACCTGATGAATAATATTAACTGGTGAATATAATAGAATCAGAGGTATGGAAGGGGAGTGGACTGACGATTCTCGGGGAAAAGGGGTGTGGGGGGTGCGGAAAGAGTCTGAAAAAATCTGTGCACCTATGGATGAGGACATTGGAAGGTAGGGAAAGGGCAGAGGGTGGGGTGGGAACCTGGTGGAGGGGAGCAATGGAGGGGGAAAAATGAGGAACATTTGTAATAGTATGAACAACAAAGATTTATTTAAAAATAAAAAAATAAAATAAAATTATATACAAATCATCCTAAATAACCAACTGAAGACTAGTTGGAGAGAAGTCTTATTAACCAAGGACTTATAGAAGTAGCCATATTGAGACTGGTAGGAAGTATGGAGGCATGAGAGTGCTGGCTGGGCTTCTATGAGGATATCTCAGCTGTGGGGGTTTCCCCCTGAAAAGTTTAGGGTCTAAACCCCAAGCCAGACCCCCAAGCCTAGAGCACCAGAACCAGAAATGATGCTCACATAACATCCTGTTATGAAAAGCATCATGATCTCTGTCACCAGGGCACCCTCTTAAAGGGTCAACACAAAGAATTTTATTTATAGCCACTCATATCAAGCAACTTCCCTGACCATAATGCTCTGAAACTAGAAATCAATTACAAGAAAAGTGAAAAAACACAAAAATATGGAGGCTAAGTAATATTATACAATGAATGGGTTAGCAATGACATCAAGAAAGAAATCAAAAGATACCTTGAAACAAATGAAAATGAAAGCACAGAACCCAAAATCTGTGGAATACATGGAAAGCAGTCCTAAGAGGGAAAATCATAGCATTACAGACCTATCTTAAGAAAGAAGAAAAAGATCAAGTAAACAATCTAACTTTACTCTTAGAGGTACTAAGAAAAGAACAACAAAAAAGCCCAAAGTGAGTAGGAGGAAGAAAGAAGAAAATAATAAAGATCAGAGAAGAAATAAAAGGAGTAAAAAAACAACAATAAAAAAAATCAATGAAACCAAGAGCTACATACTTGTTTGAAAAGATAAACAACGATGAACCTTTAACCACATTCATTAAGAAAAAAGACAAAGGACCCAAATAAATAATATAAAAAATGAAAGAAATAACAACTGAAACCAAAGAAATAGAAAGGACTGTAAGAAAACATTACTTTTTAAAAAAATAAATCCTCATCCAAGGATATTTTTCCATTGATCTTTTAGAGAGAGTGGTAGAAAATGCTATAAACAATTATGCCAACAAATTTATATGAAACCACAAAAGACCCTCTATAACAACAGTGATCTTGAGAAAGTAGAACAAAGTTGTAGGTATCATGTTACCTAATATTAAACTATACTATAAGACCATAGTAATCGAAATAGCATGGTAATGGCAAAAACCAAAAACAGACACATAGAACAATTTGCACAGAATAAAGAGCCCAAAAATAAATGCCTTTATAGACAATATTTGACAAAAGGGGCAAAAACATACAATGGGTAAGGGAAAAGTTTTTGCATAGCAAAGGAAATCATCAACAAAACAAAAAATATAACCTACTAAATGAGGGAAGGTATTTGTCAATGATACAACTGATAAGGGGTTAATATCCAAAATTTATAAAGAACTCAGACAACTCAAAAGCAAAAAAACAGAGACAATCCAATTAAAAAATGGGCCTGGCTGGGTGGCTTGTTGGTTGGAGCACTGTCTCATACACCAAAAGGTGGCAGGTTCAATTTCCAGCCAGGGCACATACCTAGGTTGTGGGTTCAATCCTACCTAGGTCAGGGTGCATATGGGAGATGAGAGGTGGCCAATTGATGATATTCTCTCTCTCTCTCTCTCTCTCTCTCTCTCTCTCTCTCTCTCTCTCTCTCTCTCTCTCTCATCAATAAGGAATCTAACTTCAGGTGAGGATAAAAAAGGACAGAGGAACTGAATAGATATTTCTCCAAATAAGATATACAGATGGCCATTCAACATATAAAAAGACGCTGACCACCACTAATCATCAGATAAATGCAAATTAAAACCACAATGAGGTACCACCTTACACCTTTCAGAATTGCTATTATCAATAAGTCAACAAACAAGTTTTAGTGATAATGTGAAGAAAAGGGAAGCCTCCTGCATTGTTTGTGGTTTTGCAGATTAGTGCGGCCACTGAGGAAAACAGTATGGAGTTACCTCAAAAAATTAAAAAATGTAAAGTATGTATGCAACCCTATGCTCATTGCAGCACTGTTTATAATAGTAAAAAAATAGAAGTGACCCAAGTGTCACAAACAGAGGAGTGGATAAGAAAGTTGTGGTACATATCCTATATAATAAAAGGCTAATATGCAAACCGACTGAATCGCAGAATGACCAGTTGCTATGACGTGCACTGACCACCAGAGCACAGATGTGCAACACAGGAGCTTCCCAATGGTGGTTAGTGTGCTCTCACAGGGTGGGCACCACTCAGCCAGAAGCCAGGCTCAAGGCTAAGCCATCAGTTGGAAATCCCACAAGAGCTTCTGGACCTTGACAGGGCACAGGCTGAGGGACTCCCCACCAACTGCCCAAATTTCATGCACCAGGCCTCTAGTATATACAGTATATACAATGGAATATTACTTGGCCATAGAAATGAATGAAATCTTATAATTTTCAACAGCATGGATGGACCTAGAGGGTATGCTAAGTGAAATAAGTCCTTCAGAGAAAGAAAAATACCATATAATTTCACTTACATGTGAAATCTAAAGAAAGAGAAAACAAAATTGAAAAAGGTGAAGAGAAGTACAAATTGGTAGTTACAAAATAATCATGAGGATATAAAATACAGCATAGAGAATATAGTCAATAATATTGTAATAAATATGTATGGTGCCAGGTGAAGGGATTAAAAAGTACAAATTGGGCCCAACTAGTGTGTTCAGTGGTTGAGCACTGACCTATGAACCAGGAAGTCACAGTTCAATTCCTGGTCAGGGTACATGCCTGGGTTGTGGGCTTGATCCCCACTGGGGACGTGCAGGAGGCAACCAGTCTATGTTTTTTTCTCATCATTGGTGTTTCTTTCTCTTTTTCCTTCTCCCATTCTCTCTGAATTCAATAAAAATATATTTTAAAAAGAAGTAAAAATTGGTAGTTACAAAATAATCATGGGGCCCTAGCTAATGCTCAGTGGTTAGAAAATCACAGGTTTGATTCCAGTCAAGGGCACATACCTTGGTTACAAGCTTGATCCCCAGAGTTGGTCGGGTTGACAGTGGGAAGCAACCAATTGATATGTCTCTCATATTTATGTTCCTCTCTCTTTTTGTCTCTCCCCATCCCTTCTACTCTAGAAATCAATGGAAAAATATCCTCAGGTGAGGATTAACAAAAACAAAATGATGATGATGATGGTGGGGAAGTAAGTACAGCATAGAAAATATAGTCAATAATATTGTAATAACTATGCCTGGTGCCAGACAGGTGGGTACTTGAAATATCGGGGAGAATACTTTGTAAAGTATGTGATTGCATAACCAGTATTCTGTACACCTAGAACTAATATAAATTAATATTAAGATATTAAATGTAAACTAAAAATAAAAAATAAATTGTTGCCCTGACCAGTTTGACTCAGTGGATAGAGTGTCGGTCTGTGGATTGAATACAGGAGGCAGATGATCAATGTTTCTCTGTCATCAATGTTTCTAACTCTCTATCCCTCTCCCTTTCTGTAAAAAAATCAATAAAATATATTTTAAAATTAAAAATTAAAAATAAATAAACTGTTCCCCTCCCAGGTTTGGCTCAGCAGATAGAGCACTGGCCTGTGGACTGAAGGGTCCCAGGTTCGATTCTAGTTAAGGTCACATGCCCCAGTTGTGGGCTCAATCCCCAGTGTGGGGCATGCAGAAGGCAGTCAATCATTATTGTTTCTCATCAATGATGTTCTTATCTCCCTCTCCCTTCCTCTTTGAAATCAATAAAAATATATTTAAAAAATAAATAAAAATAAGAAAAATATTGTTGCCCTAGCTGGTAGTTCAGTGGTTAGAGCATCACCAGCAGACTGAAGGGTCACAGGTTTGATTCTGGTCAAGGGCACATACCTCATTTGTGGGCTAGATCCAGGCCTGGTTCGCAACCAATAGATAGTCTCTCTCTCAAAACCATGTTTCTCTCTCTCTGTGTATCTCCTCCTTCCTTCCACTCTCACTAAAAATCAATGGGGAAGAAATATCCTCAGGTGAGGATTAACAAATATAAAATTTTAAAAAATAGTTAAAAAAAGAAAATATGAGTTCCTAAAAAGGATACATTCCTAATTCTCAATTCTGCTTTATAATGGGTCTTAGAGAATACAATTTCTTTTGTATTAGTCTTTTTAAAAATCCTATATGATAAAGAGCTAATATGCAAATGGTCATCATGCTCTCATAAACACTCAATACTGGGGAGAGAATGTGGACCAGCCAGGCACAAATGAGCTCATGAGAGGGGAATGGGGACGAGCCAGGCACAAATAAACTGGAATGGGGACCAGTTAAGCTGTGGCCCAGGAGAGGGACAAGCTGCCTGCCCCATGGTCCCTGCAGCCCAGGGGAGGGACAAGCTACCTGCCCCACAGTTCCAGGTGCCAGCAGTTGGGGATGCGGCCCAGGAGAGGGACAAGCTGCCTGCCAAGCGGCCCTGGGCACCTGAGGCTATGGCCCAAGCAAAGCCGCCTGCCCATGATCCCCTGCGGCTGTGGCCAGCCCAGGACCTGGGTGCCTGTGGCCAGCCAGAGGAAGGGAAGCCTGGGTCCTGGGTGCCTGCAACCAGCCAGAGGAGGGAATCCTGGGTCCTGGGTACAGGGCGAGGCAGAGGCAGTTAGGGATGACCAGGCCAGCAGGGGAACAGTTAGGAGCAACCAGGCCGGTTAGGGAGCAGTTAGGGGTGATCAGGCAGGCAGGCAGAGGTGGTTAGGGGCAATCAGGCAGGTGAGCAGTTAGGAGCTAGTGATCCTGGATTGCAAGAGGCAGTCGGACATCCACCGAGGAGTCCCAGATTGGAGAGGGTGCAGGCCAGGGTGAGGGACTACCCCGCCTCAGAAATTTCTACCCCAGAAATTTCTTGCACTGGGCCTCTAGTTAAATATAAGAATGAATAGGGAAGTCATTATGGATCACATTTGAAATAATGGACCACACAAAACACACACCTTTTTAAAAAATTATTTGATTGTTATATAATTACCTCTGTGCTAATATCGTGATATTGATTTGAAGTTGTCCCACACTTGAGCCTGAGTTTTGCCACCAGTTGTTCAAAGTCTATAACTTCACTGAAGCGAAAAGCTGTTTTTCCTTTGATGCTAATGATGACAGATTTGCTGGAATCATGTGTTTTATCTATAGCTAAGACCTGGGGGGTAAAAACATTATAAATGAATCACATTCTCCCTTGATGCTTACACTTCTAAGCAAACTGTGTTTAGCTTATTCTTTTGTGGCTAAAGTTTAGGTTCCTGGTACGACTTATTAAATAATAAACTTTGAAAAAACCATAATGAAATCTTACTCCACACCCATCTAAATAGTTGTTATAAAAAAATCAACAAAAAAGTAATGGAGAGGATGTGGAGAAAAAAATAACCCTTGTGCACTGTTGGTAAGATTGAAAATTTGTGCTGCTACTATGGAAACCAGTATGCATGTTCCTGAAAAAATTAAAACCATAACTATCATTCCATCTTCTTGTTATTTATCCCAAGAAATCCAAAAAGATATATGCATCCTCTGTTCAATGTGACATTATTTACTAGTACAATGGCCAAGATATTATATCAATTTAAGTGTTCATCAATAGAGACTGGATAAAGAAGTCATGGTACTTATATATAATGGAATATTAGTCAGCCATAAAAAAGAATAAAATGTTACCATTTATGACAGCATGATGTACTTAGCAGGTATTATGCTAAGTGAAATAAGTCAGACAGAAAAATACAAATACAATATGATTTCACTTATATGTGGAATCTAAAAAACAAAATATTGGATAAATGAACAAACAAAACAGAAAGAAACTTATAGATACAGGCCTCCTCAGTCTTCTCCTGGACCAACTCTGGGGTTATTCACAGAGGGGACAGGTTGAGCGGTGGTGGGGTAAGCACCCCAGGGAACAGGAGGACGTGAGGCCCTGAGGCAAGGAAAGTGACAAGCTGCCCTTCATTGTCAGCCAGGGATGAGTACACGGCCACCCATCTGCCTGGCCATGATCCCTCATCCACAGAGATGTTATCCACTGGTGTCCACGGCCTGAGGGCCACCTACTACCAGGTCTTCAATAAAGTGGAGCTCAAGCTGTCTGAGAAATTGGAGCCACTGTACAACCATTTGGCAGAACAGTTTTTTTCTGAGCTCCAATTATAAAATGGGGGTTGTTGTGTGCTGGATTGGCTGACATGGTTTGACCTACAGAAAATCTCAGTACAGCTTAGTCTGATGTTTTGATGATTACAGGGCTTATTTGGTCAAGATACTCACTTGTAATTATTCCAAAAAACCTGAGTCTGTTTGCTATTAATTTCTTTGTTGGGGCAGCAGGAGCCTCTCAGCTCTTTCGTATTTGGAGATATAATCAAGAACTAAAAACGAATGCAAACAGGAATTCCTGATCATCCTAACACCTTAGATGTAGCCATAACCAGTGGGACCTAATTTGTTTTATTATTTGCTTATTGGTAAGGTGTTGCTCCCTGTGCTAATGATTAGAACACATTTTTTTTTTTTTAAATCTAACTTAACTAGGAGCAAGTACACAATTCAGCAGAAAAATAAAGCAAATTTAAAAAAAGAAACTTATGGATACAGAGAAAAAAATTAATGGTTGCCAGATGAGAAGAGGTTTGGGGAGCTGGTGAAGTGATTAAGAAATACAAATCATCAGTTACAAAACAGTCATGGGGATATAAAGTATAGCATAAGGAATACAGTCAGTAATCTATATATATAAAAGGCTAATATGCTAAGTGTCCGACGGTCTGGTCGCTATGACACACACCAACCACCAGGGGACAGATGCTCAATGCAGGAGCTGCCGAGCAGCAGTGACTTGCCAGCGGTGGTTCTTGGGTCATGCACCCCGAAACCAGAGAGGAAGGAGCCTGATTCCTAGCGGGGCTGCATGATTACACCTTTGGCTGTGGGTTATGTTGTTGCTGGGTCACTAATGGCCCTGAATCTGGTTACTGCACACTTGCATTTGCATTCCACAACCTGTACTATAGCAACTTTGCAGAGTGCCCTCTCGCACTCGAGGACCCCTCAGTGGATGTTGGAGAGCTGGTTTCGACCAGATCCCCACAGGCCAGGCTGATGGACCCCACCTGCTGGACAGGACCTCAAGAGGTTGGCTTCAAGGTGTGTCTGGCCCGTCTCGCCCAGTCCTACCTCACTGGCCACCTTCTAATTAATTTCATTTCAATGTGCACAAGTCCATGAACCACATCACTAGTATTATAACTATATATGATTTCAGGGGGTACTAGACTTATTGGGGTGTAAATATCTAACCACTACACTATATACCTAAAGTTAATATATAATTGAAAAATTTTTTTAAAGAAAATAATAAAATTTCTCATTATCCTAAAAAGAAGAAATAGACTTTATATACTAGTTGTACCACTGATACAAGTGCAAGTTATTTAACTTTTCAAGGGAAAGTCTTAACTAACATGTAGTCTTTAAAAATTATAATTCCGTTTAGTGGTGCAATGGTGACTATTTCTGACTTACACAAAAGCTATCAATTCTATTTTTTATCACTGTGTATATCAAATATCTAAGTTTTGGTGTTCATGTCATATATAATACATCTGACTAATCATGTTCCGTTTTGAGTCATCCAAAACCCTTATCTTACTTCTAAATTTTTATCTAACTTTTTTCATTTTCAATAAAAGCTATAAGGCTGAGTACTTTTATACTGAAGAATAATGCTGGACTTAAAAAATTATTATCTAAAAATTACTAAAATAATGTGGCATAATGAGTTTTTAATAACTTATAGAATTAAAGGAAATTTTACTCTGAATGATAACATCTTCAAACTAAAAACTGGTATGCAACCAAATTTACATTACCTCTCGAAATGGAATGATTACACTGCATAGATTGCCATCCTGGCTAGCAAAGCAGATATAGTTCTCTGAGATGCACATTTTTCCATGAGCATTGAAGTGGCTGAATGGCACCCATAAAAAACATTCATGTACTTCTTTCAAAGTCTCTTCTTTGGGCAGCCTAAAAAAAGCATTATACTGCTCACTGTGGGCTCGATCTTCTAGACCTCTGTATGAAGGAAAAAAGGGAGACTTAAATAATGACTGCTAAAGGGTACACATGTCTATACTGATTAATCCAAATGTACTGTAAAGCAGAAAGTTTAACTACATGCTATATTCTTCAACAAATTATGAAATGGAAGAAACATACTGATTCCTAGCAGATTCTTTTTGTTTATTCTCTTTTCCAAGTTTTTAAATTAGTGAATTAGAATGCACAAAAATTAGAGATAATGTATGTCTTCAAACCATCTGTTAAGGAGTGATTTGCTGGAAGATTATTATACTACTATGTTGTCATATTATGTGATTACTAGAGGCCCGGTACAACAAAATTCATGCATGGGCGGGGGGGTCCCTCAGCCCGACCTACACCCTCTCCAATCCAGGAACCCTCGGGGGATGTCCAACTGCCTCTCATAATCCAGGACCTCTGGCTACTAACTGCTCACCTCACCTGCCTGCCTGCTCTAACTGCTCTGCCTGCCTGATCCCCCTAATGCCCTTCCCTGCCTGTCTTATACCCCTAACTGCCCTCCCCTGGTGGCCTGACCCCCTAACTGCCCTCCCCTGCTGGCATGGTCACACCTATTAACTTTTTAAAAATATTATCCCCTTTATACACAATTGTATTTGTCTTCCTTATTGGCTTCACCCTCTCACACAATTTTTCTCTCTCCTTTATGGAACACTTTTTCCTACTGACTCATCATTTATATACTTTTCTTTCCTCCTTATTTCCTACTTCTGTTCCATCATTTTTCTTCCCATCTTTCTTCTACCCTCCCTTCCTCCTTTTTTACTTCATTCCCTCCTTAATTTTTTTCTTTACTTCCTCGCTCAGACCTGCTTTGCTCCCTTCTCCATTTCTTCCTTCTTCCTATTCTCCTTTTAAGCTCTATCAGTCCCCTCCCCCCCTTTTTAAAAAATATATTTTATTGATTTTTTACAGAGAGGAAGAGAGAGGGATAGAGAGTTAGAAACTTCGATGAGAGAGAATCATCATCGACCAGCTACCTCTTGCACACCCCCTACTGGGGACGTGCCCGAAACTAATGTACATGCCCTTGACCGGAATCGAACCTAGGACCTTTCAGTCCACAGGCCGATGCTCTATCCACTGAGCCAAACGGGTCTCAGCTACCAGTTCCCTTTTAAAACTTTTCTTCCCTCCCTCTTTTTCTCTCACCCTACCTTTACCATACATTCTTCTCTAATTACTTCCACTATTTTAATATCTATCTATCTACCTGCCTAATTATTCACTATAATTTATCTTTCTTTTCTGACTCCTACTTTTAAAATCTTCCCCCAGTACACAACTATACTTGATTTTCATTACAGCTCCTACAGTTCACTCTTTCCTACTTTACTCTCTACTGACTCTTCCCTCCCTCCCTCCCTTCTTTTTTTAAGATATATTTTATTGATTTTTTATAGAGAGGAAGAGAAAAGGATAGAGAGTTAGAACCATCAATGAGAGAGAATCATCGATCAGCTGCCTCTTGCACACTCCCAACTGGGGATGTGCCCGCAACAAAGGTACATACCCTTGACCAGAATCGAACCTGGGACCTTTCAGTCTGCCTACTGAGGCTCTATCCACTGCGCCAAACCGGTTTTGGCCTCCCACCCTTCTTTTTTTTTATTTTAATTTTCTTTTTATTAAATTATTTTCTGTGTACATATACCATTGCCCTCCCCCTCCCATACATGCCCTCCCTCCTCAGAGTTTTGTGTCCATTGGTTGTCCTTATATACATGTACACAAGTCCTTCGGTTGGTCTCTTATCTTCCCCAGATCTCCCTACCCTCCCCGCTATAATTTGACAGTCGGCTTGTTGCTTTACTGTCTCTATATCTATCTTTTGGTTCATCAGTTTATAATGTTCTATAATATCGATAAATGAGTGAGGTCATGTGGTATTTCTCTTTCATTGACTGGCTTATTTCACTCAGCATGCATGATGTTCTCCAATTCTGCAAATGATGAGAATTCCTTCTTTTTTATGGCAGCATAATATTCCATTGTGTAGATGTACCATGGTTTTGGGATCCAATCATCTGCTGATGGGCACCTAGGCTGTTTCCAAATCCTAGCTATTGTAAATTGTGCTGCTATGAACATAGGGGTGCATATATCCTTTCTGATTGGTGTTTCTAGTTTCTTGGGATATATTCCTAGGAGTGGGATTACTGGGTCAAATGGGAGTTTCATTTTCAGTTTTTTGAGGAAGCTCCATACTATTCTCCACAGTGGTTGCACCAGTCTACATTCCCACCAGCAGTGCACGAGGGTTCCTTTTTCTCCACAACCTCGCCAACACTTGTCGTTTGTTGATTTGCTGATGTTGGCCATTCTGAGAGGTGTGAGATGGTACCGCATTGTTGTTTTGATTTAAATCTCTCGGATAATTAGTGACTTTGAGCATGTTTTCATGTGCCTCTTGGCCTTCCTTCTGTCTTCTATTGAGAAGACTCTATTTAGATCCGTTGCCCATTTTTTAATTGGATCATTTATCTTCCTTTTATTAAGTTGTATTAAGCTGTCTGTAGATGTTGGAGATTAAACCTTTATCAGTGATAACATTTGCAAATATGTTCTTCCATGTAGTGGGCTTTCTTGTTGTTTTGTTGATGTCTTCTTTTGCTTTAAAAAAGCTTTTTATTTTGATGTAGTCCCATTTGTTTATTTTCTCTTTAGCTTCCATTGCCCTCAGGGAAGTATCAGTGAAGAAGTTCTTTTGGCATATGTCTGAGATTTTGCTGCCTGTGGATGCCTCTAGTATTTTTATGGTTTCCCGTCTGATGTTTAAGTCCTATATCCATTTTGAGTTTATTTTTGTGTATGGTGTAAGTTGGTGATCTAGTTTCATTCTTTTGCATGTATGTGTCCAATTTTCCCAATACCATTTATTGAAGAGACTGTCTTGACTCCATTGTATGTTCATGTCTCCTTTATCAAATATTAATTGAGCATAGTGATTTGGGTTGATATCTGGGTTCTCAATTCTATTCCATTGATCTATATGTCTGTTCTTATGCCAGTACCAGGCTGTTTTGACAGTGGCTTTGTAATACAGCTTAAAATCTGGTATTGAGATCCCTCCTACTTTACTCTTCTTTCTCAGGATTGCTGTGGCTATTCAGGGTCTTTTATTGTTCCAAATGAACTTTTGGAGAGTTCTTTCTAGGTCAGTGAAATATGCCATTGTTGTTTTAATGGGGAGTGCATTGAACCTATAGATTGCTTTGGGAAGTATGGACATTTTAATGATGTTGATTCTACCAGTCCATGAACATGGTATGTTCTTCCATCTGTTTACATCTTCCTCTATCTCTTTTTTCAGTATCATGTAGTTTTCCATGTATAGGTCTTTTACCTCCTTAGTTAAGTTTATTCCTAGGTATCTTAATTTTTTTGGTGCAGTGGTAAATGGGATTGCCTTTTTAGTCTCTGTTTCTGCAAGTTCACTATTGGTGAATAGAAATGCCATAGATTTCTTGTCATTAATTTTGTATCCTGCTACATTAGGGGTGTCGAACTCAATCAGAGAAGGGGCCAAAATCTAAAATCCAGCCTAAATCGCGGGCCGAATGGTTTACTGAACAGTCATAAACTGTCATTGTGATGGAAACGCAGCGGAGTGCTGTGATGACAGCGGGGTGCGGGCCACATTGCAAGGCCTGGCGGGATGGATTTGGCCCGCGGGCCTTGTGTTTGACACATGTGTGCTACATTGTCAAATTTATTTATTAAGTCTATTAGTTTTTTGATGGAGCGGGAGCGTTAACTCCCAGCCCAGGGCTCAGCCCCAGCCAGATGTTCGCCACCCCCATTCCCCAGCCTCCCCGCTGCTGTCCTGCTCACATTCCCTGCCCAGGATGCCCAGCCTAGTGAAGGTGGCCCACACAGCCCAGGGGCTGCTGCTGCCCCAAAGCAAGAGTGCCTCTGCCCAGAAGGCCTCAGACCGTCCACCACTCCATCCTGGACCCATGCTGGGGGCCACCACCCTCCCTGCCCCTTACTGGGAACACCTGCTCCCCTCTCCCATGTGCAGCCCTGCATTTCCTTCTCTTTTCCATTCCTGTGTCTTTTTCTTGTTCCCTTTATATATTTGTTTCTTCTCTTGTCCTGTCTGGATGCAGGCCTGCCTTCCTGTCCCTCTCCTTTCTTATCCCCTCCCATTGTATCCTATCCTACCCCGGGCCTTGCAGCTGCCTGAGCAGAGGGCGGGGACACAGCCTGCTGTTTTGGTCATGACATGACACTGTAATGGGTAATTTGCATATTTCTCTATTATTAGGATAGATGGCTAAAACCAATCTCGGTGACAGTAATCATTATATCTGATTATCAGAAAATCATAAGTTACCCATTTCAAACAAATTAATGAAAATTTATGGTACCCAAATTTAGAAAGTTAGTGCATAAAAAGTAATATTAAAACTAAAACATTGCATAAAAGATAAATAGTGCACAAAAGATAATATTAATGTTTTAAAAAGTCCAAATTAGAAGCAAGATAAAACAACACTGCTTGCACAGTATTAAGCACCATTAGGTGTCAATAAATACAGATTACTTGTTAAGTTATACATACATATATAAATAAAAAACAATTGCTTAAAATAGAACAATTTTCTAAAGGCATTCAACATTTGAATTATGCAGCAATGTCATCTGGGGTAGTAAGTAAATTATGCAAGTTCTAACTCAACAAAATTAAAACTAAATTCATCATTCCAGCATACCCTATTTGAATATAAGATACTTCATGTTTTTCAAAATAATTTTGATAAATATGAACAGAAAACCACATTAATTATAACTCAAACTGTAATTCAATGGGTTATTTCACTATTATTTAAAAGGATGAGGTCTATTCATATCAATGAAATGAAGTTCTGGATATTATTTTAAGGAGGGGAAGCAAATTATAGAATAATATGTGATAGCAAACCAAATACATATAGAGTCCAACAGCTTTTAGACATATACTTCTGATGCAGAAACTAATTAATTATTAATATTTATTTAGTGCTTTATATTTTACAAAGTGCTTTCACATAATATATTGCTCATTCCTTATAAGTACTCTCTGAAAAAACAGAGGTCCTGAGTGATTATGACTTGTCTAAGAGTTCCTGCCCTCTCCTTCTAAGCACTATATTCTCCACTGACTTCCCAAACTTGCCTCTTCATAAAAATAATGCCCTTTGCCCTAGCCAATTGGACTGAGCGGCTAGAGTGTTGGCTTGAGGACTGAAGGGTACAGGCTTGATTCTGATCAAGGGCACATACCTGGTTTGGGGGCTTAATCCCCTGTGTGGAGTGTGCAGGAGGCAGCCAATTAAAGATTCTCTCTCATCATTGATGTTTCTATCTCTCTCTCCCTCTACCTTCCACTCTGAAATCAATAAAGATATATTTAAAAACATAAAACAACAAAACAAGAAACAATGCTCTTTATAAATTATTTAAAAATAATACATTTAATAATTTCAGACCTAAAAGTAGACTACTCATACAGAAATTTAGAGTTAGATTAACCCTGCACATATAAATCTCTACATTTCTAAAGGCACTCCATAGCAAATCCTACTGGTTTCTCAAGAAATAATTTTCAAACCTAACTTCAATTACTTCTTAGGGCTAAATTTCATGGAGAGAACACTATTTGTGAAATGCATATAAATAAAGAAAAAATAAATAAATAATTACCCGCCACCCCCAAAAAAATCACATAATACAGAACAGTTAATTTTTAATGCTAATCAATGCTACCATTCTTTTGTCAAATAATATTTTTTAAAAGTAAGTATTAATTAAGTTTTGAATACCTTTTGGTGATTTGTCGAGGATCATCAAGAATTGGGTCATTATCAAATGTTTCCTTATCAAAAAGTCTCTTTACAGCATAGTTGGCTAGCTGTTCCATAAGAAGATATGTTTGGTTAATATGCAAAAACATCGAAAAATAGTGACTATCCCCTTGGGAACACACATGAATACTCTCTGTCAATATGACATTTGAAGTCTTTTCAAGTTTTGAGACCGCATCCCAGGAGATAATGAGTTTTACTGTAAATAAAAGTTATAAGTAGATCAGATTAATTTTGTAAATGTTCAGTAATATTTATCAATCAGGTCTTTGGAAAGAATAGTAACATACTTGAAAAATGCTATGAACAACTAAAATATTTGAGTCCAACACTGGTTATAATTTTGAATCATAACCACAAACATACAATAATTGGTGAGTCTAGGAATAGATATAAATTATTCTGTTACTTTACATACAGTGGTACTATGTCTACTATATTTATATTGTATGTTTAAAACAAGGATTAAAGCATAGATTGAGAAAAGTAGGTAGTTTAGAACAATGGAAGAAAAGGAGTTATATGCTAGATCACCATAATTTCATATTCATTCACTTGCCACCATATACAAGACATTATGCAGTCTATACACAGTTTTTATGGTTCTATGTTAAATAACCAGCCTTACAAGGATTCTTTTTCTAAATGATGTGAACTTGTTTTATTTTTAGAAAGAGGGGAATAGAGAGGGGAAGAAAGAGGGAGAAGGGGGAAGAGATATCGAGAGAGAGAGAGAGAGAGAGAGAGAGAGAGAGAGAGAGAGAGAGCGCGAGCGCGAGCATTAATCAGTTGCCTCCTACAAACACCCCCACCACAGATTGAACCCCCAATATAGGAATGTGCCCTGACTGGGAATTGAACTAGGATCCTTTCAGTTGCACTGGACAATGCTGCAACCAACTGAGCCATCCTGGCCAGGGGTAGATCAACTGAATTTTTAATGTACAGTTTAATGAACATTAATATCAATCCTATTACTTTATATACAACCTAATACCACTACAGAGTTAATAAGTCAGTCAGAAAGTTCGAAGTCATGGCAAGCAATAGAAACCACTTACTTTCTGATCCCAACAAAAAAGAATAGAAGCTCAGGAAGTTGGTGCTAAGATAGAGCCAGCCCTGACAAGGAACCCGTCCTTTCCAATAACTGCATGAGTAATAGGTCACTAATTTTTCCTGCTCTGGTAAACCAAAACATTTTTCAAATTTCAAGAGAGTTTCTCGAAATTTCTCAGGATCATCTTCTTTTGCAAAAGAATGTTTTCCCTCTTCAGCAATTAATCCCTATGGGAGACAAAATATTTTCTGAAAATTAATCATTATCTAACAACAAAAATTTCATATATTTAAACAGTTCATTGAACACAACTGTGTATACCTACACATGTACAGATATCATATGTATATGTATGCATATTACATACTTAGGACAGAGGTGAGATTTTCTTTAATTTTGTCATTAGGCTTTTTCTAATGCCTCACAAAGAATTATCACAAATACAGGTGCTAAATATTATTTTGATTGAGTGAAGTGTTCACTCAAACTCAAAACTCAAGATATTAAAATGAAAATGTCCCTAAGAGCACTCACAAGGGCACAAAAACTAACCACTGACTTTGCAATTTTTCTTTAGCACTGATTCTGACATTAATATGTGTGCTTCTACCAATCCTGAAAGATGCCAATACAACATTGACCTTCCATGCAGTCTTTAATCCTTAAATAAAAGGGTCACAATTTTTGTATTCCATCTACAAATTATATCCAGGCCACTTACTCTTATCTTTCCTTGTACAAAATTAGTAATATCTTCACTTGAGTCAAACACAGATAAGGTCTTCATGATGTTTTGTTCCAACCAATCCCAATGCTTCATTATTTCTTCTCTGTTGGCTCCTGATTAATAATGGAAGATAATAAAAGACACAAGAAAAACTCCACAACAAAACTGCTCAATATTTACAAGCTTAGTTAAAAAGAAATAAAATTATAAACTATGCTCTTCTCAAAAATGATATTCATAAAAAGGTATTACACTTATTCTCTACTTCATCTCTACATGTGGGCATGAACACTATTTATAATAATAAAAGCATAATATGCTAATTAGACCCAGACATCCTTCTAGACGGCCTTACCATGCACGTGACAACCCTAAACACATTGTATGAATGTAGATTTCAACTGTGGCAATTCAACTTATTTTAGAAGGTATGAAGCCTTTGCTCAGAGCCACCCTTAAATTAAAAGGCCTGTCACTTAAAAGAAATTTCATGGAAGAGATTAGAAACCCTGTAGCAAGATTAAATCCATGTTACCTGCTGAATCAAGGTTAGGTGGCTTTTGGGGGGTTAGCTTAAATAAATTAAATCTGGGTTGCTTTGGCCTGAAGAACACTGCAATATCAATTTCTGCATTTAACCCATATATCTTTAAGATCTCTCAAGCACTGTAGATTACACAAATTTCAATCAAAAGAAATACCCTGACTTCTTAGTATATTTTGTAATATATAGAGAGTGACACTTAAACATTTACTGAACCTGCAAAATTGCCTAATTCAGTTAGAATCATATTCATGCTTTTAAAGTAAGCATACCAAGTGCAATATCTTTCTTTAATGAATGACAAATAAAATTCATGGAAAAATTTTAAGGCCTTTATTTTGGTCTTTTATATAAAGGAAAACTTCATTAGTAGGTAACTATTATATTTCTGCATCAGTGCAATTTGGGGGTTAAGTTATATAATTATTCTTTTAAAAAATAAAAGTGGAAAGGACATTTTTTTCTACATAATTTCAACCAACCAAGTTTAGAGTTGAGTTTACAGACATCTCATAATATCAGCAGGTGTAGTGTCTTCTTCATTTAATTTAAATGATGTTTAAAATGAGAAAATGTTCACCTTCTATACTAAAGGAAATTTAGAGGGAGATGTAAAAAGCATGTCACAAATCTTTTCTTTAAATTTTTTAATTGATTTCAGAGAGGAAGGGAGAGATAGAAACATCAATGATGAATCATTGATCAGTTGCATACTGCACAACCCCCAAAGGGATTAAAGCCCCAACATAGGCATGTACCCTGACCAAGAATCAAACTGTGACCTCCTGTTTTATAGGTCAATGGCTCAAACACTGAGCCATGCCAGCTGTGCAAGCCACACATCTTTAAAAAATTAATTGTATGCTGTAGCTATATGTTGATGCATTTGAACTATCCAAAAGTCACATGAATTTTTTTAAGTATATCTACTTGAAAACAGAGGTGGAGAAAAGAAAGAGAAAGAGAAAGGACAGTATTTCAACATTAAAAAAGCTAAAAATCTGGGATTCTAATTTAGAGCAACATTATAATAGCATCATAAAAAAAGTAACATACTGTCATGGTGTTTTTAAGATTTTGAGTTGCTTTATTAGGAAGAATCTAAACTGCTCCAGGAGAAATGAATATGTAGGATTGCCTGAAAGATGTCCTTTCATATTTCAAGTACTTCAAGGATATGATGCCTTTTGTGAGAATGTAGGTGTGCAACTAAAAAGGATTCAATTTTTCAGGCTTAGAAGTTTTGGGCTTGATTCTCCTCATGTGAGTTATTACAGATAAAACAGTATTTTATGGGGAAGTTCTCATCTTCCCTACAGTGGGGTGAATAAGTAAGAATAAGTTGAAGAAAGGAGTTATATAGCAGTAGCAATAATGAAGTTATTCAGAATTAGGACTGATGGAATACGTGTTTCAGGTCCCTCAACTGATCAAAGTTTTATTTTCGTTTATTATATAACACTAGAGGCCTGGTGCATGAAATTCATGCATCAGGGAGGGGGTTACCCTCAGCCCAGCCTGCACCCTCCCCAATTTGGAACGCTTCGGGAATCGGGGGATATCCAATTGCCAATTTAGGCCCGATCCCTACAGTCAGACATCCCTCTCACTATCCAGGACCACTGGCTCTTAACAGCTCGCCTGCCTGTCAGCCTGATCACCCCTAAACACTTCTGCCTGCCGGTCTGATCGCCCCTTAACTGCTTCCCTGCTGGCCTGATAGTCCCCAACTTCCCTCCCCTGCTGGCTTGATCACACCCAACTGCCCTCCTCTGCTGGCCTGATTGCCCACAAGTGTTCTCCCCTTCAAAAACCTGGTCGCCCCCAACTGCCCTTCCCTGCTGGCCTGGTCACCCCCAACTGCCCTCCCCTGACAGCCTTATGGCCCACATCTTCCCCCCCTTGCTGAGTTGGTGGCACCAGGATGGGGCCTAAACCAGCAGTCGAACATCCCCCAAGGTGTCTCAGATTGGAGAAAGTGCAGGCTGGGCTGAGGGGACCCTCCACCCCCCCCCCACACACACACATGTGCATGAATTTCATGCACCGGGCCTCTAGTGTTGAATAAGATTGGTGAAAGTGAAAATACTTGTCTTGTTCCTATTCTAAAGGGAAACTTTTTTTTTTTGCATTGAGTATTACGTTGGTTGTAGGTGTGTCATATATGGACTTTACTATGTTTAGATATGATTCCTCTATCCCCACTTCACTGAGAGTTTTTATCAAAAAAGGGTACTGGATTTCATTGAAAGATTTTTCTGCATTCATGATAAGACCATGTGATTTTTGTTTTCCAATTTGTTTATATGATACAACATGTTTATAAATTTGAAATTATTGTACCAGCCACACATCCCTGGAATAAGTCTTCCTTGGTCATGTGTGTATGATCTTTTTAATATATTGCTGGATTCAATTTACTAATATTTTGTTGAGGATTTCAGCATCTGTGTTAATGAGGGATATTGGTCTATAATTCTCTCTTTGTAGTATCTTTGTTTTTAGAATTAGGATAATGCTGGCTTCGTAAAAAGAGTGTGGAAGTATTCCTTCCTCTTGACTTTTTTGAAATAGCTTGAGGAAAGGTGATGATAGTTCTGCTTTGAATGTTTGGTAAAACTATCCTATAATTCCATCCAGTCCAGGACTTGTATTTGTTGAAAGTTTTCAAATTACTGCTTTAATTTCATCAGCTGTTATTGGCCTATTCAGGTTTTCTGATTCTTCCTGATTAAGTTTGGGAAGATTGAATGTTTCTAGGAATTTGTCCATTTTTTCCAGGTTGTCCAGTTTTATGAAATATAGTTGTTCATAGTATTTGCTTACAGTCCTTTTTCCCCCCTGTGATGTCCATTGTTATATTGCCTCTTTCATTTGTGATTTTATTTATTTGAGTTCTGTCTCTTGATGAGTCTACCTAGGGGTTCAACAATCTTGTTTATCTTTTCAAAGAACCAGCTCTTGGATTCATTGATCTTTTGTACTGAATTTTAGTCACTATGTCATTAATTTTCACTCTGATGGTTATTATTTCCTTCCTTCTACTTACTCTGGGCTTTTCTTGCTGTTCTCTAATTCCTTTAGTTGTGGGGTTAGAAAATTTATTAGTGTTTTTTCTTGTTTCTTGAGGTAGGCCTGAAATGCTATGAATTTTCCTCTCAGGATTGCTTTCACTGTGTCCCAGAGGTCTTGTGTCCATTTTCATTTGTTTCCAGAAAGTTTTTAATTTCTTCTTTGATCTCACTGGTAACTTTAGCATCCATGTATTTGAGTGTTTTTTAGTTTTTTATTATAGTTGATTTTTAACTTCATGCCATTGTGATCTGAGAAGATGCTTGATATGATATCAACCTTTTTGAATTTGTATTTGTGTTATATGCTAATATGTGGTCTATCTTTGAGAATGTTCCATGTGAGCTTGAGAAGAATATATATTCTGTTGCTTTTTGGTGAAATCTTCTGTAAATATCAGTTAGATCTATCTGATCTAGTGTGTCACTTAAGGCCTCTGTTTCCTTGTTGATTTTTTGTCTTGAAGATCTATCAACTGATAGTGGAGTGTTAAAGTCCCCTACTATGACTGTACTGCTGTCAATCAATCCCTTAAAGCCCATCAAGATTTTTTTTTTAATGTAATTGGGTGTTTCTATGCTGGGTCCATACATGTTTACAAGTGTTATTTATATTTTCTTATTAAATCATTCCCTTTAGTGTTCTGTAGTGGTCTTCTTTGTCTCTTGTTATGGCCTTTGCTTTGTAGTCTATATTGTCTGATATGAGTACTGTTATCCTAGATTTTTTTTCCTTTCCACTTGCATGAAATATATTTTTTCTCATACCTTCACTTTCATTCTGTGTGAGTTTTTGTTCTTAGGCAGTTCTTTTGTAGACAGCATATCCAATATAATAAAAGGTTAATATGCCAATTGTCCCCATGGGCAGGAATTCGATCAACTGGGAGTTAGACATGTGCTGACCACCAGGGGGCGGCATGGAACATGGCAGGAATCAGCAATGGGGCACTGGCAGCAGGAGGCAGTGGAAGTACTGCTGGCCCCATGGGTCCCAATGAGGGCAGGACCACAGTGAGATGATGGATCAAGTGAGCGGGTGGCACAAGGCCAAAAATGGTTGTGAGCAGGGGCTTCAAATTGCCCCACTGATCACCACACAGACGGGGACAAGGGGAGAGGGGTGGGATGATGAGTGGGTGGTGCCAGGCCAAGGCAGGTGTGAGCTGGGGCCCTGATCACCCCACCGGTCACCCCGCAGATTGGCCTTGATTACTGGCCAAGCCCAGGGACTCTACCTGTGCATGAATTTCATACACGAAATTTGTGCTCGGGGGGATGTGTCCCTCAGCCCAGACTGCACCCTCTCCAATCTGGGACCCCTCAAAGGATATCTGACTGCCTCTCACAGTCCAAGACCGCTGGCTCCCAACTGCTAGCTTTCCTGCATTCCTGATTGCCCCTAACCGCTTCTGCCTGCCATTCTGATCACCCCTTAACCACTCCCCTGCCAGCCTGATTGTCCCTAACTGCCCTCCCCTGCAGGCCTGGTCACCCCTAACTGCAATACCCTGCAGGCCTGGTCCCTTCCAACTGCCCTCCCCTGCTGGCCATCTTGTGGCAGCCATCTTGGGTCCACATGGGGCCAGCCATCTTGTGTGTTAGAGTGATGGTCAATTTGCATATTACTCTTTTATTAGATAGGATATTACTCTTTTACTACAATAGATATGTATACATATGTGTTGTGTTCTCCTATTCATTCAGCTACCCTATATATTTTGACTGGAGCATTTAATTTATTAACATTTAAGGTTATTATTGATAGGTATTTATTGCCATTTTTATGTTCTTTATGCCTAATGCCTATGATCCTCTCTCTCCTTTTCTTCTTCTTAAAGCAGTCCCTTTAACATTTCTTGCATTTCTGATTTGGTGTAATGTACTCCTTTAACCTCTTTTTTTCTTCCTTTTTTTTTTTTTTTTTTTTTTTTGTCTGGAAAACTCTTTATTTCACCTTCAGTTTTGCTGGATTCAGTAGTCTAATATTTAGGCACTTGCTTTTCACTACTTTGAATACTCATGCCACACCCTTCAGGTTGAAGTGTTTCTATTGATATGTCAGCTGATATTCTAATGGGAAATCCTTTGTAGGTAAATTTGTCTCTTTCTTGATGCCTTTAAGATTCTTTGTCTTTAATGTTGGCCATTTTAATTACGATATATCTAGATGTGGGTTTCTTTGGGTTCATGGTGATTGGGACTCTCTGTGCCTCCGGAACTTGTGTGACATTTTCCTTCACCAGGTTGGGGAAGTTTTCTGTCATTACTTCTTTATTTATTTTATTTTTTTAAAAATATATTTTATTGATTTTGTACAGAGAGGAAGGGAGAGAGATAGAGAGTTAGAAACATCGATGAGAGAGAGTCATCGATCAGCTGCCTCTTGCACACCCCCTACTGGGGATATGCCCGCAACCAAGGTACATGCCCTTGACCGGAATCGAACCCGGGCCCTTCAGTCCCCAAGCCGACGCTCTATCCATTGAGCCAAACCGGTCTCGGCTGTCATTACTTCTTTAAACAGGTTCTCTGGTTCTTGCTCACCTTCATTCCCTTCTGGTATCCTTATAATGTTGATGCTATTCCATTTCACATCTATCTTTCTGCTTTTTAATTATGGTTTTGTTTTTTTTCTTTTTGCTGCTCTAATTGAGTATTTATTTCTACCTCGTCTTCCAATTTACTGATTTGATCCTCTGCTTCATCCAATCTACTTTTAATTACTTCCAACGTGTTCTTGATGTCAGAGATGTTATTTTTCTTTTCTGTCTGGTCCCAGTCCATTGTTTCTATTCCTTTTTTTCATGTTGCTATAATTTGGCATGGTCTCTGAGCCAGAGTCATGCCCTGGGAGTGGCTGTGGCAGTAGCAGAGGCTCTTTGGCAAGAAAAGTTTGAACCACTAGCTCCTACCCCAAGACTCCCATGCAGTCCATTAGTCTCTCTCTCTCTCTCTCTCTCTCTCTTTCTCTCTCTCTCTCTCTCTCTTTCACACACACACACACACACACACACGCACACACTTTCACACACTCTCCCTCTTACTCCTTCACTCTGGTCCTGCCAGCAAACATGTTGGAATCCCCTAGTGAGTCTGATCAATGTTTTATAAACTGTAATAATCTGTAATATTTCTTAAATAAATAATTAGATGCCTTCCTATTCTCTCATAGTAGAATCTGAGAAATTTAACTATTTTCTAAATCAAAACAACTGGGAAATATAAATATAGTTATTCAATTTATTTGTGTCTTTATTTATTTGACATATATGTTTTAAAAATCATACTTACCACATGCAATTGACAGGTAAACTTGAGAATCTGGTGTCTGGTGTAGAATACGAAATGGAGCTACTTTAGCAGTAGAGTCTAAGACTGAATCAAGAGTCCCAACCAGAAGCCCTGTTGTAATAAAGAAACTGATGAAATAAGGATTTTATAAGAGATGAAATCAATAGTACTTTAAATGACAAAAAATAATGGATTTACTTTTTAAAATTTCTAGCCCAAAGTTTCCTTATAGGGACCTTTCATAAAAATATATATATATATATATTCTGAATGAATATTTTATAGTGTTCCAATGTGAGTAGTGTTTGTTGAGAAAATGGTCTTTCAATAAAATGTCAGGCTTAATTGTCCAAATCTCAAGATATATACTATATCTATATCTATATCTATATATCAATATTTCAAATACATATAACAGGTTGTATATATAACAGGTAAGAATGTCAGAGGTCAGAGACTACTGGGTTTGAGTCCTCGCTCTGCTATGTCACTTATGTCAACTTGAACCAGTTGTACCTAACCTTTTCTTCATGCCCCTTTGCAAAATAAGGGGATTAAAATATAATCAACCACAAAGTGTTGTTGTAAAGATAAAGTTAGTTATTATTACATAAAAAAACAGAACAATGCTTACCATGTAGTAAAATACTTAATGTTAGCTAATACTAATATATAAGAGAAATTTAGTTATTTAAACAATTAATTAAAATGCTGAGGTAAAGGTATTTTTTAAAACAATTCTTATTTCTTCATTTGTAATTCAAGACTTTTGATAAGTTTGTTCCAATTTAATGACCTGATTATATTTCCTACTCCTCTGAAGAACAAAGTTTTCAGTTGTCTTAAACAACCAACTAATTTCTCCTTTAGGGTCTTTGTTAAGCAATTCTGTTTTACTTAGAAATGCTAACGCAAGTCTTCTAGCCCAGTCCAGCTAATCCAAATTCTACATTTTCTTCAAGACCCACTTCCCCCATGAAATCTTCACTGGCAACCCCAAGCACTAATGACTTCCCTTTTCTCAGATTACTTATAGCACTTAAAGTCTATAAAACACAACCTATATTTCTGATAAATTAGGCTAGTTATTACAACTATTTGTTAAGTGCATGAGGTATATTAATCATATCTTTATCTAGATTATTCATTTGCTGAAGATAATAACCACATCTTCTACCTCTGAGTTTGCATCTTTAATTGTCAACATATTTCTGGACACAACAGGAGCTAAATTGTTGACTTCATTGTATCAATGGGATGACTGAAATACATAAATCTACCTTCCTTTTTGGAAATTTTGAATGGTTGAGTATTGGTTTTGCTTTATGAGGCATTTATCTTTAATTTGGATTACATATTTTTTAGAAAAACATTAAATCAATTATAAAGCAGGCTTTTGGCTATTTTCCTAGCTTTACCCACTTAAAAGGAGTTAAGATTTCAAGCAAGCTTTGAATGAGAATATGTATGCGTTGGCAGATGTGAGATAGGAAGTTATAAACTTAGAGGAATGCAAATTAGAATAATAGAAGATAGAACAGAGAGATAAAGAGAATTTTGGCTTAACTGAAAGGAAAAGGTGGAAGTGTAGATGTAGAAATTGATAGAAAATAAAAACAGAGGTCACAAAAGCAGCATAATATCAATTAGCAACCTGACAGATGGTTATTAATCACTTGACAAAACTGTCAAAATAAAGGCATTATACTTTCAAACAAAACCACTTATTAAACACAGCCCTGTTTGAGTTTCTAGATTTGCCTCACAAGAATTTAAATTATAAAAAAGATTTCAAAAAAGTATTTTCAAATTTGCAAGGAAAATAATTTATTCCACCTTTACCACATTTTCAATAAAACTAGCTCAAACCCAATTTCCTTATTTATATATACCAGAAAAAAAGTAGTATTAGAAAAATGGGCCGGGACCGGTTTGGCTCAGTGGATAGAGCGTCGGGCTGCGGACTGAAGGGTCCCGGGTTCGATTCCGGACAAGGGCATGTACCTTGGTTGCGGGCACATCCCCAGTAGGGGTGTGCAGGAGGCAGCTGATCTATGATTCTCTCTCATCGATGTTTCTAACTCTCTATCTCTCTCTTCCTCTCTGTGAAAAATCAATAAAATATATATTTTTTTAAAAAATGGGAGAAAGAACAAAGAGGTAAAGAAAAATTTGACTTAGTTGAAAGATAACAGTGGGAGTGTGGATGTGTGAGGGGCCAGAGAAGGAGAGGCCACAGATAATCATTCCTGAGTAACATTATAACAATTAGTTCTCCCATAGAAGGTTTTGAGACTGTATAAAGTGGTCAAAACCACTGTCAAGAAAGGTCATTTCTTTCTGCATCAGAAATGTTTAAAAGTACCTTGCACTATGTAGAAAGGAAATTGCTTAGTTTTTGTATGTGCATTAAATCAGGCAGTTCGTATAAAACTATGCAACAGATAATTTGGAAGCTAGTTCTAAATACATTTGCAGTCACTTGGGGAAACTCTTCCAGCTCACTAAGCTATATTCATCAAGTTTCAGCAAGTCACTCAGGAATTAATATGTGCCAATGTCTGGGTTTTAAAAGTACAAGGCAACAAGCTGACAACTTTGGGTTGCTTTTCCACATACATAAGAGGTTTATCATCTGACAGCTTGGATATCCAAGGTCATGAGTCAGCCTACACATGGGAAGTCCTTTAGCCATGGTAAATCGGGAAGAGAATAGATATTGTCTTTCAGCTGCATGAAAAAACAATAGATTTAAAAATAATAAGAAATATCAGGAAATTCAAATCATCATTTGAATATCTATAACTGAGTAAGGTACCAATGTTCTAGAACCTGGTAAAGTTCTTTGGGGTTTCAGTAGCATCCTGCCATACAAGTAATACCAAACTTTTTAAAGAAATTCACCACCTTAATTGATGTTAAGTACTTTTTTATTAAAAGGCATAGCAACATAACAAAAGAAGCAAGGTTCCATAATTTAAGAAAATAGGCAATTTACAGGTGATGATTATTGTTCATGAACCCATTCTTTGTTTGATTTATTTATTTATTTATTTATTTATTTATTTATTTATTTACTAGAGGCCCAGTGCAAGAAAATTCATGCACTGGAGGGGGTTCCCTGAGCCAGACCTGCCCCCTCTCACAGTTTGGGAGCCCTCAGGGGTGGGAGGTGACCAGCAATCAGGAGAAGGCAATGTATCATCACCCCTCTGCTGCTGCCACTGCTGGCAGCACAAGCCTCGGCCAGCCTTGGTTACCTGAGCCTTGGGCGGCCATGGGCTATTGGCACCACCATCTTTGAGGGCAGGACAGTCAATTAGAATATTCCCTCCTTGCCGAAACCGGTTTGGCTCAGTGGTAGAGCGTCGGTCTGCGGACTGAAAGGTCCCGGGTTTGATTCCGGTCAAGGGCATGTACATTTGTTGCGGGCACATCCCCAGTAGGGGGTGTGCAAGAGGCAGCTGGTCGATGTTTCTCTCATCGACGTTTCTAGCTCTCTATTCTCTCCCTTCCTCTCTGTAAAAAATCAATAAAAAATATATTAAAAAAAAAAAAAAAGAATATCCCCTCCTTATTGGCTGTGGGTGCCACCATCGTTGAGGGAGGGGCATTCAATTAGCATATTCCCTCTTTATTAGATAGGATTTATTTTAATCTAACATTTTATTTTGAAATACTTTCAAACTCACTTAAAACTTGGAAGAAGAGTACAAAGAGTCATTTGTTTAGGAGAACAGCAATGGCCTAAAGGAGGAAGAATAGACAAGTTGACCTTGTGCCCCCAACTAAATCAACTAGATTGTCCTTAGACACGAGGGTTCACAGGATACCCCCTCGTCATCTATATTGTCAGCTCTTGCTGGCTGGACCCACACCTGCCTCGTGGAGGTGGTTGACAAACATCCCCAAAGGCCTGGGTCCATCAGTGCTCAGCCCAGGCCCAACACCCGCTATACAGGTGACAAGGTTGAGAGAGCCCCAAGGGGCAAAGATAACCTCTCCCACCCTACCCAGCACTGATCACTGTCACTGAATGTCTTCATCCCAAAGTCCAGGCTTCAGAAGTCCTGCACTGGCCAAGCCATGTTTTATTTTTAATTTATTGATTTGAGAGAGAGAGGGAAACACCAATTTGTTGTTCCACTTAATAATGCATTCACTGGCCCAAACCGGTTTGGCTCAATGAATAGAGCGTCGGCTTGGGGACTGAAGGGTCCAGGGTTTGATTCCCGTCAAGGGCATGTACTTTGGTTGTGGGCATATCCCCAGTAGGGGGTGTTCAAGAGACAGCTGATCTGATCGGTGAATCTCTCTCATCAATGTTTCTAACTCTCTTAACTCTCTCCCTTCCTCTCTGTACAAAATCAATAAAATATATATTTTTAAAAAAGAATCTTAGAACTTTAAAAAAAAAATAAATAATGCATTCACTGGTTGATTCTTGTATGTGCCCTGACCAGGGACCAATGACCTACCCAGCCAGGTCTCAAACCAAATCTTTTTGGCTGAAGATATAGCACCACTGACTTTACAGATGAAAAATATACTAATAGATCTTGTAGACCAACCTCCAGCATATTCATCTACACTATAGGATCCCTGATAGAAAGCCTAGCTTTGTCCTTTATAACCCCAGAGTTTATTTCTCTTAAGGCAGCCTATTGCATTTCATTAATTGGAAAGCCTTTTTAAAATATGGAAGGAATTATATATATCCACATGCTGGTTTCATGGGCTTGGTGATTTGTCCATAGTGCCCCATTTAGCTTTACCTGGTTAAATGCTCTATTTCTATCTTGAAATTCTTAATTTTTAAACAAAGAGCCCTGCTTGTTTCTTTTGTACTAAGCCTCACAAATTAGGATATAGTGGTTATAACTATAGGGTAGTAGGATAATGGGTAATATTTTCCTTTTTTTATACTTATACATATTGTCTGAAATTTTTACAATAAACATTTTTTAATCTTTAAGATAGAAAAATAAAGCTACTTCTTACACACTTAAAAAAAGAAGGGCAGCCCTAGCCAGTTTGGCTCAGGGGATAGAGTGTGAGCCTGTGGACGGAAGGGTCCTGGGTTTAATTCCAGTCAAGGGCAAATGTCCAAC